GAAAGCCACCTGCTCCTGGGAGTCAAGGGACTGGGCCTTTACTCAACTTTGCAACCCAAGAACCAAGCGCAGGCCCTAGCACTCAAAAGTACCATTCTGAGTGCTGGAAGCTTCCATCAGCGTCTGGCCCATTTTCCCCCAGTCCTTCTCTCCCTGTGCAGAGAGGCCTCATGAACTATGGGACAAGAGTAGAGTTTGGAGTCAGATGCCTTGTGTCAGCCCTGGCCCTTGTGGGACACGAGCAAGTTATTTAACTGGGATGTGCCTCAGTTTCTTCTGTACAAATAGCCTTGTGTATCTCTCCCAGGGCTCCTGTGAGGAAAAAGGTCACGATATGCAAATCTACTTCCTGCCCAATGGCAGAGCACAACACACAAATCCTTGAACTCAGTAGAAAGTGTGGAGGCAAAAGGTGTCCATAGAAAAAAGTGAGTGGCTTCCATTCAGCTCCCATGTCGTCAACAGAGCCGTGGGGTAGCCAGCTGCTCTCAAGCGAGGGACAGCCCAAGCTGCCCTCAGTCCCCATGCTCAGAACAAGCCTGCTTAGCAATAAAGCAAACCATTGTTATCTGCATGGCAAACCACGGCTAAGGTTGGGCCTTCAGCTCCTTCAGTTCCTGTCTTGTTCTGTCCGCTCAAGACACCCCATAAAATACAATCGTGCTGACTGGGCATTGCCAGGTACTAAGTGCAAGGCCCCAGAAGCCGCTCAGCCTCTCTCTCCACACTGCTGTGCCCAGGTTTTATGAGGCCTGGATAAACAACAAGGAGGGGACCCTGTTAACACATGAGATGTTCGAACTTAGGGTCAAAGGGAGACGTGGAAGGTGTGGTGGCTGAACTCTTGTGAGGAGGCACTGTGGTGTGGAGGAAAAGCCTTTTTTTGTTGGGGTCAGGAGACCTGGCTCACCTCTGCCACTGGCCTTTTTATGCATTTGTTTAAATCATGGCTGATGTCATTCATAGCTGAGGACTGGATTAGACAACCTAGTTCTCCCCAGCTATCATGCTCTATACTTGGAAACTGTGGTAGCGAGTCCTCCCTCCTGAGCACCTCCCCTCCGGGGTCAGCTGTGGAAGGCATCCCCCGTCTCTTACTGAGCAGCCTCCACCCATGTTACTGTTCCTATGCCAGAGGGCCCGAGCTTACCACGGCCACAAAGACTGGCCGCAGCTGGGGACATTTTCCCACATGTTTATTTTGGTTAATAACTCAGTAGTCTAGGAACCTGGGGGGACTAAGGATTTGGGCATCCCAGCACCTGCTAATGCCATTCCCCTCTTATACAAAGTGACCTCTCCTCTTTAGATTACCAACGCTCCATCAGAGTTAGATGTTTTCTATGCTGCTTGGCAGGAACTGAGGGCAGCAGCAGGCTGTTCTCATCTGTGTGCTCATATATGCCAGGGCAGAGCAGAGGAGGCACCAGAGCCATACAAGCCAGCAGCAAGCTCTGGCCACATGAGTAGGTGGTGGCTGGGGAGATGGCAGTGCTGACCGTGGGGACAAACTCAGAATGAGCTTGGATGACCACCGAAGTCTAGGAGCTGTTTTTAAGATGCCACCCAAGCTTCTCTGCTTCCCTTAGGTCCTTATCCAGAAACCAGGTGGGAGAAGTTGTATAATGTGCCCAGGACCACCCAGCCACGGTGTGGACAGCTAACACTAGAATGTGACCCTTTGGGTCTCAACTTGCTCCTTTTTCCACTCAACTCTGTTGACTTTGAGAGTCTAATGAGATCAGCAGATCCCTTGTAGAGTCTCAGAAACATGACCCTGTGTCACTTAGAAGCAGAGCAGGCCAGAGATGCAAGGATAACTGCCTCCCTACACCATGCATTCCTTCCTCATGCAACATCATTTCTTTTCTTTTTCTTTAATCCTTGCCACAAAATCTTGTGGGGGGGGGTTCAGATGTCAGTGAGGAGGGGGAGGTAGGCCTCTGTTCCTGCAGAACAGATAAAATAACCACAACTGTTCTTCTTCCTTAGCCTAGAGATCATTGGTGCAGGAAGGGCAGCATGAGGAGAAGATCAAATTAACCCACTAGAAATGTGGCCTGTTTAGGACAAGAGTCTTACAGTGGGCAATTCAATGGGACATCTGAAGGCTGATAATAAATAGGGTGTGCCTCTGCCAGGGACCTTAAAAACCAAAGTCTGACAGACCATCTCAATGTGAGGAGGAGGAGGCTGAGAGGAAAAGATTCAAGGGATTAATTATTCAGTGGGTATGACCCAGTTCCCTGCGGGGAGGCTGGGTGCAAACACAGATCACCAGTTCCTTATCACAGCAAGAAACTCAAGTACCTCACAGGCTAATGACCTCTTTGCTGCCAGAGAGAATCCATTTAAGATGAAGAACAAGAGGAAGAGAGAAGGAGGAGAGGGAGGAAGGAGATCAAGAGGAGGAGGGGACCAGGGAGGAGGAGGAGGAGGAAGAAAAACCAAAGTTCTCTCATTCGACAAATATTTACCGAGCTCCTCTTGTGTCCCAAGCTCTCCAGTGACTTACATGTGGATTTTCATAGAGGAAAGAGATTATGGAATTTATAAACAGGAAGCCTGAATGACAGCTCAGTTCAACCCTCAGCTCCATCACCCTGGGCAGGTTCCAGCCTGTCTAAGACCAATTTCTCATCTGGAAAATGGGAGTGAATCTGCCTGCCCAATCACGAAGATGAAATAAAACGTGAAGCCCAGTGTAAATACAAGGTTTAAACAATAATGACATAATGCGACACACTTTCCCTGCCCTAGAGAAGTATAGAATCTGCTAGCGTTTTGGAAGGCAATCCGAGGTACCTATTTGGCTAACATCACACTCTCTGTAATTTGGGCAAATTGTATGTTTCAGCTTGCCGAAGGAGACAGAGTTGGTCACAGCTCCGGCTCCAGTATGTGTGCCTGAGATGGTGCGAGAAGGGCAAGAAAGAGTGGAGTTCACATCGAGACCTACCTGGCCCTGTCCAGCCTGGATTGGATGGATGAGCCAGGAGAGACAAGATCCACAGGGGGAAGGAGACAATAGGACACACAGTCAATCAGAAGCAGAACAAAACTCATCTGTGTGCCATCGGGGTGAGTCAATGGAGCGCCACACACTTCCCATGCACATCTCAGGTAATGCACATCTCAGGATGCCCCCTGCATGCGGGGTTTCTGCAACACAGGGCAGAGACTCGAGCCTCGCCAGCTGTGACATAATGACCATGTGGGCCTCTTTCCTAGGTCTTTTCCAGATGCTAAGAATCCTTCCCCAAGGTCCAGCAAACTCCTCTCATCCTGTCTCTGTGTGGGTCCTCGATACCCACCAGGCCAGCCCCAAGGGTACACTCAGGCCTCCGGCTGAACCCTCAAGTCCTGGCCTCTTAGATGGGCCCTGCTTCTCTCCTTGACCCTCACACTCCCTGCTCCTGCAACCAAACTGAGCTCCTGTGATGCCTACCCCAGCCCACAGTCCAAGGGCTCCTAGGAGGGGCCAGGTGTCCTCCCCTCTGTATTTCCTCCAACTCTTGGCATTCTGTAAGTTCTTCACCTCCTGCAAATTCATACTTATGGCTTCAGGATGTTCTCAGACTGCTGCCCAGAGAAGGGAGGCAGAGGAGGAGGGAGGGGAGTGGGAAGAACATCAGAACAGAAGCTCTGGGCCTGAATTCCAGTTATCCAACTGACTCCAGCAAGTCCTACAAACTTGAGAAATTCTCTTTAGGTCAGGCCTCAGTTTCTCTGTTTGGTAATAAGAGGGTTACTCTAAATAACCTCTCTAATTATAAAATGTGGCCTTACAGAAACCAGGCTAGCCTGGGACCCAAAGTATATGAGGCCTGGTCCTAATTAGCCACAAGCCCGGGGCAAGTTTTCTGGCTGCTCAGAGCCTATCTTCATATCCATAAAATTAAGGGAGAGAGGCTGATCGTAACTACCATTCCCGGGCTCAAGGCTTCGTGAAACACCGGCTGTGAGACAGCAACAAAGTCCTGACCTAACTTGGGATTCAGATTCCCTCAGTCAGCAAACAGCTGTTGACCATATGTGACATTACAGGGACTGTGCCAGCCCGGAGAGGGCTGCCAGGCCCGGACGGGAAGGCTGCAGAGGGTTCCCTGACCTGGAGACTCCCTCAGAGGATGGGCGACATGCAGGTGAAGACATCTTAGCTCAGGGATGGCGTATGTGAAGGGCAGCTAAGCGCTACAGGGCACCAACCTCATCGGGGGAGGCGAGGGAGGCTTCTGAGAGGGGAGGCAGAAAAGGAGGCAGAACAGTGTGGCTCAGCTGCAACCAGGAGGGGGGCACCTGAAGGCCAACAGGAGAGGAGGCTGAGGAGGTTCTCCAGCAGCCCTGGGAGGGACCGAGTAGAGGGGACAAGCAGTGGATGCAGGAGAGTGGCAGGAAGGCTCTTACATTAGTTCACGAAGGACCGCAAACAATGCCATCATGGATTTCTCTCTGCACTGAGCCTTCCAGACCCTGGGCCTCCATGGAGCTTGGAAGCCACGGAAAGATCTAACCATGTCTCTTCTCAGAATGGATCCCACATCTTCTGATAAAGATGGCAGGGATCGCATTTTCAAATCTTGGTCCAGTAGCCTGCTATGCATTGAGTCACTTTCTGCAGAGGACCTGGGCAGCCGAGGGGCTCAGAACCAGGCTGGGGTCAGAAGAGCTGTACTGCCGGCCTTGCTTGGGGGCAGAAATGCCGAGAGCCTGCCCAGCACACAGCAGCACTCACACAGGTCTCTCACCTCCCCAGATGAATCTTAGGCTCAACCCTGCTCCTCCGAGACCCCAGGGAGGCTGTGCGGACTTGCAGGTCATGGGCAAAGGCAGAGGGCTGAGGAGGGGAAGGAAGGTTCCTCCAGCCACTGTTCCTTCAATGGGGTCACATGCACTTGGCCTGAAGAGAGAGCCTAGGAGCTCCTACACCTTGCTCAGCTAAGAGCAGCCCCTAGGAGCAGCCACTCAATGCATTAAAGAGACCCAGCACTATGACTTACTCACGTGATTCTCAGGCATCACAAGGGCTGAAGTCTTCTCCTTTCAGGATGAGCCCTGCATAGAGTGCCATGTTCCTATAAAAACAAGAGCTAATATCAGTTTCATGATCCAACATTCCAGCCTCCTGTCTTCTCCTCTCCAAGAGGGTCCTACACAGCGCTGATCATAGCTGAGCTTCCTAAATGCATTATTTTGGCCACACTGTCTTATAGCGGCACTTGAAATGGACAGAGATCCATCCTGTGCTCTGAGTTTTGCATTTGAACAGAGTCTATTAAGCAAATTCTGTTGTCCACCACTGGCTGGGTGCCTCGTGTCCTTTCCCTGCTTCTACACAAAGCTTTGCCTTAGTGGAAACAGAAAGTGCCAGAATTCCTAAGCTTGAGACAGAATGAAAGAAAACCAAGCTGGTATAAAATTTAACAAGTCACCCACGTGGAGTCTGTAACACTGCCTAAGATGTAAGGGACCAAAATGCTACACAGTCCAGGAAGCTATGGAAGTGGCCTATCTCATCATGGCTGTCTCCTAAACAAATTAGTATTTTGGGTTCCAGTGACCATCCACACAATTTGGTTACATACTGTTGCTGCTGTGGAAAATATCTCTGCACCTGTTTGGAAAACGAGGCCCCTCATTACAACATATTTCTAATGGTTTACTTTCACATTGGAAAAAAAAAAAAAACCTCAGTGTCTAAGGGGCAACTTCAAGAGGACAAAAAGTGACACAGATGTGAAATTTGCAGTCTATGGTAGGGAATGTCTGTACTCTGGGAAGTACCACTGCTCTGCAGAGTGGCAGGCCTGCCAGGCCACACAAACACCTGTTCTCCCCAGTACACGAACAGCCATGCTCGGAGCAGAAGCTGCAGTCCTGCCAGCCATCAGGTGTACCATCAAGCCCACGCCCCTCGGGCTGTGCCAGCTCACAGACAGGCTGGCCCGCTTCAGCCACATTCTCTCAGCCTGAGCTGTGGGCTGTGCACTGCTGCCTCAAGCCAGGAGTCAGAGTGACCGGAGACTTCAACTTAGCTGCTCCTGCTTCTTCTGGGAAGCTGGGAGTGGGCGAGAGAGTTGGACATCCTGATGCCACATTCCACTGTCAGTGTCTGAGAAACCACAGACCACTTCCTGCACCCTGGATCTCAGGAACAGAAGTCCCCAAGTACCCTGTGACATTGTTGGGGCCCACAAGGGCTGACCTGTTGGTCGGACTACCGTAGAGAGTTAGGCACACTGATCCAGCCACTCAAAGGACCGACCCATATCTCCTTTGTCTGACTAACAGCCACACCACCTAACCAGAAGGTCCTGGAGCCTAGTGCTTCAGGGGCATCTGTTTTTCATCTACAATGAGGAGCTTGGCATAACTGGTAACATCCTCACCACAGACCACTTTCAGTTGCCACTGCCCATTGACCCTGACTTTTAGAGATACTTACCAAATTTGTTATTGGTTAAAAGGTCAGGGAGAGCATAACCTATGCACAGGCTTTGCACTGGGTGGTTAGTATGCACTGCTTTAGCTAATCCTTCTTGCAACCTTGGAATGGAGGAGTACAGTATTCCATTACAATAGGGTAAACTGAGGTACAGCACAGCCAAGCCCCTGGCCAAGGATCTCATTAGCACTAACCATAGCAGTCCTGGGAGTTGTGGAGCTGGCCTGAGTCCACACCCAAGATTGTTCCCTGACACAATGCCTCCTTTTGTAACCAACTAGAATGAGGAAATGTTGTTTCTCCTTGGACTTGCCACCATCCCAGTCCCAAGCAAAGAAGCAAGAGCTCTCTGGTCCCCTGGGGGCCTGATTTGGACCCCTGAAAAACCTTTCTGGGAACCTGAGTGGCCCCGCGGGTCTGAAGGAACATGGCAAGCCAGAGGGAGAGGAACTCAGCGAACCTTCCTCTCTGACGTTCTCCAAGCCTAGCTGCACAGAGACAGGGTCCTCCCTGAAGGACCCTAAGCACTTAGACAAGACCTGGCACCCCAGGTATAAAATCAATGTCTATTGAAAAACAGAATGAATGAATGCAGAGCTCAGGTGCACTGAAGGCTTATTCAAGAGCCATCTCAGACCACAGCACCCAAGCGGAGGTCTCCCACCTCAGACCTCAAGACAGAGGACAAAGACGCACACCCTGAGTCAGGTCTACCCTTTACTCCAAACACCAGGAAGCTTCTGACAGGGAAAGAGAAATATCTGAAGGGGACCCAGGGGAATGGTTAACAGCTCAGGCCCTACAATCCAGCAAACCAAGATCCCAGCTCTGTCACTTTAAAAGAGGTGGGTGGTCCTGGGCAAATCACATCATCTCATGGGGCCTCAGTTTCTTATCTAAAGGTGGTGACAACATCAGTGTCCTCTCTAGAGGGCACTGTGAGGGTGACCTGAGATACTGCTGTAAAGGACTCAGCCCCGTGAATGTGCGTGGCTGGTGCATATGGGTGACACCCACTGTTATAATCTGCCTTAGAGTGGGTAGTGAAGACCAAGCACATCTACACCCTCTGCCTGGCTCAATCCTAGCCTCCTCCTCACTCACTCAGTAACCTTGAGCAAACTACTTAACCTTGCTGTGCCTCAGTTTCCTGGTATGTAAAATAGGGACAATTGTGACGGTTAAATGAGCGAGTTAAAAAGCATAGAATAATGGCTGGCACTCAGTCAAAGTGAGATACTATTCTCTTTTTCTGCTGATAGTAAATTCCACCCTGTCCCCATTCCTCAGCCAAAAAGGTGAGCACGGGACTCAGGGAAGCTGAGAGTAGCTTTCCTCCTTGCCACATTCATTGGAGCAAAGGGTGTGCATGAACTCTAATTTGCACAGTCCCGGGAAAGGCCGGGGAGCTTGTGTGGGGCCAGTGAGGAGGTGTCTGTAGCCACAGACCACTGGACAGAGGACTCTGGTGCAGGGGTGCTGGAGATTAGCTGTTCTCTTCTCAGGGCTACATTCTTCGGTGCCTCCTTAACTCTCTGAGCCTCCCTTGAGAGCTTCCAACATATTCCCCTTATGCATCAGCTTAAGTTTGGCTCTTGTCCTTTGAAACCAAGAGTCCTGACTGACAACAGCACTGAACAGATGGCTGCTTTATCACCACCAAATCCACCCAGGAAGAAAAGCCAGCTGTCCACCCTCAGTGAGATCCAGGCAGCAGGGTAGAGCAAACATGGACAGCAAGGAGCTGGCAAACTGAAGTGAGGGGAGGCCACTGAGAGCCTCAGCCATCCCTTCCTGGCAGAGGCAGATGCTGGAACCAAGAGTGAGCTGCCAGGTCTTGTAGTCCCTGATGGGGACCCAGCCCAGACCTGGACCTTGTTGCCATGAGCCTTAGGGATGGAGAAGAAGAAAACCAAGGAAGCTGGAGCTGATATTCACTGACTTCAATGTGGTAAGGGAGAAAATCCAGGTAGTTACTTAAGACAACTGTAAAGGAAGAAGAAAGGGAGGAGGAGGGTGGTGAAGAAATGGTCTTGCTGGAGCACTTACATGTACTGTGCACTGAGGGACAGATTCTTCCATCTAATCTGGGAGCTGGATAATCATCCAGCCCATTTTCCAGGTGAAGAAACTGTGTCTCAGAGATACCAATAATTATCTCACTTGCCAGTGTCACACCACTCGTGTGCCCTACCTTTTCCACCTGATGCACTGGTCTCTTTCTGATTCCCGAGCCTGAGATCTCCTCACATGAGTCAGTGATGCTGTCACTCATCCCTATGACTGCCAAAGTGTAATGGTGATGTCCTCCTGGCCCCTCATCCCTGACAAGTCAGAGGGAGGAACGACCTCCCAGAGGCAGGAGCACACAGGAGAGGCGGTGTCCTGATACCCTGGGCACATCCTTAGGCAGGGTTCCTTCTTGGGCCCTTAGTATTTTTAATCTCAAGGGGCACCAATGTGATTCTGAGATGGCTTTTATCAGTGAGCTTTATCTAGGGTAGGCCTAGCAGAATCCCATGGGAAGCTGGTTTTGGTTTTCTCAGTCACCTGACCCAAGAGATTCTACCCAGCACTCGTACATACCTGGCACAGGACTGTGCTAAACAGACTCTATGCTTCACCTCCTTTCTCACCATCCTCACTCCCAGCACCAAGGATAATCTATTGCTACATTCCTGTGCCTTCTAATAGACTCTCTTAAGTCCCTCTAGGAAAAAAAGCTCATCTTCTTGTCTGTGTTTTTAGAGTTGTAGAGAAACCAAAAATTAAATCCCAGGCCTGGAAGCAAAAACTAAGAGCCAACGCCCACAGTCCTCCAACCTCCCCTGCAGTATGAGGTGAACGCACACAGCCACCTGCTTCCCAGGTCCAGGAAGCCTGGTAGCAAGGGCTGCCCGGGCATAACCTAGACAACTAGGGGTGTGACGGCTGGCCAGGCGCAGCATTCCCCAGCCCACAAAGGGAAGGTCAGTAGACACTCCAAGGGGGACTCACCTGCTGACCCCACAGGGCACAGTACCCAGGACCCACCTGGCAGCTTAGGGCTTTTCTCTATTTCCAGCAGCTGGTTTCTGGCAGTGCCACTGCAGTCACAGGGATTATCCAGGCAGGTGTTTCCCTTACCTTTCTTTTTCTTTTTATAACTTTGTTCTCTGCTCTTTTAAAATAAAAAGGAGGCCAGGGATTTAGCTCAGTGGTTCTGCTGCCTGCTTCGCAACAGCAAGGACTCAAGATCGATCCCCAGTACCAAAAAAAGAAAAAATAAAAAGGAACTGGCTGATTTTTCTTGGGATGTGCTTTGGTTCTTCCCCACTGGCTGGGGAACAGCCTGGCAAGGCACTGCCTGGCCTTGGCAGGGTCTACAGGACACTGACAGGGATCTATGAGCAACTTGACAGCTAGAAATCTTAAAGAGAATGCAAAGCTCACATGGTTCCTGGTTTCTCTTAAACCATCCAGGAAAAGATAATAAGCATTTGCTCGCTGCCCTGGTCGGGTCTATAACAAATGCTAAAGAGCACAGCAAACAAACACCAGGGCTCAGGATGCTGAGGCACGAGAATGAAGGGCACTGCTTCGGGTCAGCCAGCACCTGGACTTGAATCTTAGCCTCGCCGATTGCCCATC